TAGCGAACACCACACGACACGACACACAATTTTCCTATCAGTAAGCCTAGACATTTCGCGCTCTGCACAACGTTCATTCACAAATATATAGTTTTAACAGCAAACTGTTGTACGTTAATAATCTATCTTTCGAGCACTACCTGAGTCCCCTATCCCGAGTAGATTCCTTAAATGGTCTGACTCAAAAAGAGGGACAATTATCGCGATTCGTAACACGTGCTACGAAAATTTTTCACGACGTTAACCCTTTCGTTACTATTGGCGCCTATAGGCGTTTTGAACTCCTTTGGAGCCTTTTGGTGCACTTGCACCTTAATTTAATACTTAATTTTATCCTTCACGCACTTCCACCTTAATTAGATCGACCGAATTTTAAAACGTTACGATCAGAATAACAAATATTGCAACCGTGGTTAAAAAATTACCGTCAGTCATCCACATTACGCGTTAAAATCTGCCGTAGCGAAAGGGTTAAAAACAAGGGATATATTTAAGTGGACTTCTTCAGCTAGGACACCCTGGATAACGTAACACGTTGCACAGCAAAGTTACGAAACTTGTTAGAAAAAGAGAAAGAAAAATATTATCTAATATTGTGTATAGCAAGTCATCCATCAAGTGTCGGTAAAGATCAAAGATAGTTGAAAACATTATTATACGACATGTTGCTAGTCAGTCCAAACTACTGTGCTACGGTTATAAAACACTTGCCATCTGTCGTATGCAAGCGATTCGTCATCTCAGTCTAGCTGTTACATTCCCTTGTTCGCGAAACATTCATTTATCATTCGACATCGTTTTTTACAATTATAAAATGGAATGGACGTAAGAAAGAACGGCTCGTTTAGTTGAATTATTACGGGAGAAACATGTCTTATGAGATACTACATCTACGAACTTCAAAGACAGAAGTAAAAAGCTTTAATGCCCGGGCTGGATTAGCTGTTGAAAGAAAGATTTGAATACTATGATAATTAGACAGTTTCAGGAAGAGTTGAAAAAATGGAAAAATACAAACTTGTTACATATGTACTTGTCACTATTCTACCAAAAGGTGTAATCTTGTAACAAGTTTTAAAAACGTGTCGTACAACAGGGTTATAAAAACAATTTGTTTTATAGCACTGTTTCGTTATACAGCGCAAACGCAGCTTAAAAAGAAGGCCACGTGCGATCGTGAAATTTCAATTTCCCGTCAGCTATAGCGAAGCAAGTTGTGAAAAATGCGAAAACCGGCGATAGTTGTAGATTATATGGAAATTAGTTTACTCACCGGTAGCCACTTGCTTCTCGGTGACGTCTTCCCGACGAATGACATTGACCGGTGTCAAACGACCGTTATTATTGCATTTCGAGAGCAAACCGACCATTGTCAGGTTCATTAGCGAGGAGCCGCGCTCCTCGCCGCCATATTTGGCGAACAATTAACGAGTCTCGATCCGGTCGAACGACCGCTAGGAGCTACGGTGCTAATTACTGCCACCGCTATCGCTGCGGTTGACATTTTGGGAACGTCTTTGGATTTTCGATTCTTCGGAACACGTGACCACCACGAGGGTAAACTGTGCAATTGCGGAAAAGAAAAGAAACGCTCACCTGTTCCATTGAAAGAAGAATATTTGAAAAGGGAACTGCTTCAAGAGTGACGTTTAAAATTTTCGAGAACATTCTTTAACCCTTTAACCTGTAACAACGAATCAGACTCGTGGCAGAGATTCTGGTCCTGATGTGAGAAAAATGGTTAATTTCCTTTCAATTTGTAAGACTGGATATTAGTAAATGTGATTAATCTCTAACAGATTAGCTTTCGTTACTTGATACAGCATTAAAACAGTAAACGTCTAACTCTTAGATGCGTAGCAAAAAAAAAAACCATAGGTTAAGGGGTTAATGTAACCTAGTAAATCTCTTCGAGCGTCGATTAAGAGAATACAAAGGATTTTTTTTAACGAAATTTTCCGACGTCGAAGCTCATTCGACAATTCCTGAAAAGGAGCTTGCAAATGACACGAACGTTCACAATATTGAGTATGAGCATCACTGGAACGAGCATAGGCAAAACGAACGAATAAAACAAACGTTCGTGAACGATCGGAAAGGTAGTCGCGACAAAAAGTCAGCGCGGCGTCACTCGTTAGCGCGATAATTCGATCGGAACGATAATTTGCTCGAGTTCGCACGCTCGTCAAAATGGCGACATCAAACAGCGCCGGTCCAATTACCACGTGCCGGCTAATTCGACGTTTATATTGTTCAGTTCCGATTTCGAGATTATTGCTCTAGAATTACGTGTCGAACGTTCAAACTGGATAATGTGCTTTTATTATCGCAATTAACATCTCTGTTACACACCGGCGTGTGATTTATTTAACTGAGAATATCGCGTTGTCGTATCGAATCTGCCAAGGTAAACTATTTCAAATGTAATTTCTCGAGGGGGAAGGGAGTGGGGGGAAAAAGGAGGTAGAAACTATTTCGAAGAAGTTTGAGAACGAGTTGTCGATGGAAACGTCTCAGAAGCGGAAAATTGGGTCGCGTCGCCACGGAAAGAAGCCCGTCGAGACTCGTTTCGAAGTTTCGCGCAACCGAGACAATGGAGGAGTTTAAGGGTAGCTCGAGAAGAATTAACGTTCGATGTGGTTGGAAAAATTGGCCGTTAGTAAGCGGTGAATTTTAGGAGGAATCGATAAGACAGACCCTGGGGCAGCCATTAGATAAATTTCTTGCAAGTTTCAGCACTACATGGTATAAGGGACAATGAAATTAATATCGTCAGCAGTAGAGTTGTAGGACGATCTACGATTATGTTGACAAGCATTACGAAGGTTCGATAGAACGTCATTTTTTATACATAAATTAGACCAGTGCTTACCAACCTGTGTTCCGCGGAGCACTAGTGTTCCGTAAGCACTTCGAAAGTGTTCCGTGGTAATTGGATAAATTGCAAGGTATTGCTATTATCGTCATACGTAAAATTACTGTTCGTGTGTGAAAGATGCGTCGAATTTATTTATTTACAAATGAGAAAACCATTTGAAAATTTTACGAGATGCAGAAACATCCCGACTAGAAATTTCAGTTAGGCAGATATTAGGTCCGCATTAGGCTAGCCTAATTTGCCTGTTAGGCCCCAATGGGGCAGCCCATCAGGCCCGCATGCGGTATCTAACGCGGAACATTCACGACCGCCTAATTGGGAAAGCCGCGTTAGGGCCGCATTAGGCTTTTCTAATGGCTATCCAATGAGGCCCATATTAGAATAGCTTTATTAGGCTGTCATTGGGAGACATTAATGGAATCTCAAATCTTGTCGAAAGCTCTCACGCAAGCGTACGTCCGACACTGAGATGTCTGTAAATATTCCTACATATAAGTTTAAGAGCCCCACTCCACCTAATTTAGATGTGCGCTCGGCCACCCCCATTTGGGCCACGTATGGCAACTGTTAGGAATGCCCAACTTAGGCATGCATCATTCCTTCCGAATTAGGACCTAATGCGGTAACGATTAGGCTTGCAGCATTTAGGTGTGCCCAATCGTTTCCGCATTAGGCCCACATTCGTCTTTAGGCATGCCTAACTGAAATTCTAGTTCTATTTAACTTGCTCCCGATTTACTATAGACAACACACTTATTTCATTTTAATTTAGGTAAGTGCTCCGCCAAAAAATTTTACTCGCAATAGGGTTCCGCAGTTTAGAAAAGGTTGGGAACCACTGAATTAGACTAACTTCTGATTAATCGAAGATGTTCAAACACTCCTCTTCACAAGTATTACGACACTTCCTGAATGTGAAACAAACCTAAACTTTTTCATACGATATAAAAAATATTGTAGCTATGAATTTAAAAAAAATTCGTGGTATAGTTGTTACACGAAAATCATTGCAAGCTGAAAAATCCATTCAAATCATCCTATTGTGCGTAAAGAATAATAAAACTTTGTCTTCTTCTATTTTTCACAAAAATCTACCGCTTGCAAGAAAAACCCTAAAAACTAATAGTACGAACACCCTGTATATTCTTACTGATATATAACACTAACTTTGAAATGTAATTAAAATCATCCAATACTTTCTACTCCAGCACAACAGGTGTCGTAATAGTTAGGAACGGCGCGATAAATAGTTGAATACACAACGAAACAGTTACTTGTACTTCCGACGAATCATGAATGAAAAGTTCGAAGAAACGCGTAGAAATTTTCAGAACACGACTGCAACAGTTCCATCTTCATTTCCAGCTATAGGCGAAACCGAAGCGGGATGCAGGAGCAGCGCGGTAGACGCTGGAATAATCACAAGCACGCGCGTCGATCGCGTCAGAAGCAGATGTGCACATACGTCGCAGACGCTTAACCTGCTGATGCCGCGTGTACGAGCTGTACACGTCGAATGTATATTAACCGCTTATCCGGTTGAGCGACATGTGCGCCTTAAGGGCTTCGAACGGTCGCCCCAGGGACGAAGCTGATCTTCCTCGATGACAGCACGGGGATTTATGAGAAGCAAGATAACCCAGACTAAGGATCGTTCGTCTCGAGCTCGTCCATAGGTGTCCTGTATCTGTTAGCATTTTTTCCGTTTTCTTTTGGTTCGACAGAATGTTATAGAAGGCAGCTTTGCTTGCGATTAAAGCAACTGAAAGAATTTCGATCCTGGACGTGACCTGATTTGGAACGCAGCGGATCCTACGATTCCTCCATATTATCTCACATTGAATGACTTGTTTCAGTTTGAATGACTTTGAACGACTTGATGACTTTGTTAACCCTTTACGGACTTACACTGGACATCGCATTTCGAGGCAAACTTGACATAACAATTTTTCCCTGCAGATATCGTAGAATGATAAATGGTAAAGCAGAAACGATAATAAGTTTATGATCACATAATGTATAGTCGAACGGAAGAACGCAGCTAGGGTTAAAAGTAGAGGCTTTCAAGCGTCCTATGATCAATTTATGTCTCAGAAATGTTCGCATGTAAAAAAGTTTATTATCAGCTTAAACCATCAGGATACACATTATAGAGTAGCAATCTTAAGAAGGAAACAGGGCAAGGATAAGCATCCTCACATGGCGCGTTATTTCTGTAAGCAACGTCGTACGAGTCCTCTTCCTCCTTCTTCACGTTCTCCACGTTGCTGGAATAAGAAGAGTGAATACATATGTCGGTAAATCGTGTTGAAACTCACGATAGAACGTTTCACAGGAAATGTACCTCAGTATCAATCGAATAGCGTCCTCGATGAACGACACGCCGGGCGGACTCAACAGCGTTTTCGCTTCGCAGATGGTCCTCAAGATGCACAATCTTCCTGGCAAGTTCCGACTGAAACAAGTTGCCCTTGGTCCTTCACAATGCAGATAAAACGAGCATAACCGAAAGGTTATTGTCGGTACCTATTCAACGCTGACTCAAAAGTGGCGTATAAGTCGCGACGATGACGTCGTTTCACCAGCCACGGCCTTTTTACATAGAATTTCTTCCGGAAGTTCTCTGGAGGAAGTATCGGCCAGATCATGTCGAACTCGAAGTCCATATTCCAGTTGCTGGGAAGCTTCAGTTGAACCGGTTGCAAAATAGACGTTGTCAGCTGAATGGAAAAAGCAAATCAACAAAGAAAATTCCACTTTTTCACCGACGAGTCGTATTTTCCTAAGCATCGAATGAAAACTAAGAAAGATGAAAATTATCGCAATAGTCTATATAGTACATACACTATTTTGAAATTTCAGATTAATGAGATCGTTAGCTTTAGTTCGATCTTTAACTCGAACGCGAGACAGCTAGACACTGTGCTCTTCAAACTTTTCAATTTTCTTCAATTCTCTGGAATTCTCAAAAAATCTTTTCATACCTTATTCCACATACTCTACAATTTATCTAATAAGAAAAAAATTTGAAATTTGCTATTCGAACATACAAAATCACTCCCTACATATTTCGAAATAATAGGATCATTAATTAGCTTTAATTCGATATTTGACTGGAACGGTGCTCTTCGAATCTCTAGAATTTCTCCAATTTTCCTAAATTCTCGAAATTAATCGTTTCACACGTTATCCAACGCACTCCAAAATATTTATCTAAGAAAAAAAAATTTGAAATTTGCTATTGGAAGATACAATATCACTCCCAACAAATTTCAGAATATTAGATATTTGACTCGAACGCGAGATATCTGAACACTGTGCTCTTCGAATCTCTAGAATTTCTCCAATTTTCCTAAATTCTCGAAATTAATCTTTTCACACGTTATCCAACACACTCCAAAAAATGTATCAAAGAAGAGAAAATTTAAATTTTCCTATTCGAAGGTACCGCGCATCACCCCCTAAAATGCTGACAACTGCAACGTCAGAAAAGTTCACCGATTTTCCACCCACTATCTTCCACGAACGAAGCACAAACGACTTCCCGAACGAACTGGTGGGCAACATACTTCTTCTATTCCCCATCGTGGATCGACACGATTATCCGAAGAACTCGTTCCGTATTCCGTTGAAAACGCAGTTGATACCATTCCCAATGGTACCGTGGTGATCCGTGGAACTGCCGACACTTACCACGAACGTGCTGCCCTTTGGAAAAGTCAGCCGCCTACGTCTGGACAGGATCTTCGTTGACCTTTGGCCAGAGAAGGCTGTTAGCTCGGTGTCATTACTGTGACACGCGTGCTCCCCGAGGATCAGCTGGAGGATCTCGGCGAGAATCAACAGCAGAGGCCACAGGGTTCTCATTTCGCGGAATTACCGGCTGAAATCAGCCGTTTCGCGGAGGTCGACGAGACTCAGATGTCTCCTGGGAGGAAGAAGACACCGGCAAAGTTTTTCTGGAAAGGCAGCAACATCTTTCGCGGTTACGTCGTACGCGTCGCGAGAATACTGGCACGGTTAGCTGGCTGGATGGTGGAAGAGGGACGCCACGCGTGTTTGTACTTCCTGTTAGGCCCCTTGTTACGTGATCTGAGATCTTGGCCTCTGGTCGGTTCAGAAGTTTCGTGGAAGTTTCGCTGGTTAAAATTAAACGCTGGGTTATCCTCGTTGGCTGCGGTTTCGACGATTCGGAAATTCTTCTAGAAACTTCATTTATCGAGAATGGTACGAAATAGAAATCGTCAATGGTGACTGTTACTTTAACGATTTCATCAATTTCTTTGAGAGTTCGTTGGTGGTCGGAATTGTTACAAAATCTGGACCATTAATGGGTGAAAGTTCCCGCGCATTTTGAAAAAAATCATAACACCGCTGAAATTAAACATTTTTGCCAAGGTATTACAAAAGCCGCGTATTAATTTCGTGTACATAAAAATTCGAATCTCTAAGAGAAAGAAACTACTGAAAGGCGTTTTCAATATCCTCCCGTTTCCCGAATCCTTTTTGCGTAAGGAAATTGTAGCACGCTGGCAAACATATATCGGATATTATGCAAATTATTTTGAATAAGAATGTTCAATTTCAGTGGAGTGATGTTTTTTCACGTAACACTTTATTATTCAAAATTCAAGCAGTTATAATGGAACCTTCTCCGAGTTATTTCTGTTTGGTTAAAAATGGCCAGACGAGTAACGCGTAAAATATTCAGTCATAATTATCAGCGCAGCGCGAAACACTCTGGCCCGGCCTAACCATCAAGCATTCATTTATTCGAGAAAAGTATCGACTGGCTGTAATTTCGGGGATTCCCGGGGAGTCTCGTTTAAAATGCAGCGACCCGTTTAATCAAGGGCCATCGGCCTGACCGGTGAAATCGGTTCGTCGCGGACGTTAGATAAATCACTCCTCGAGGGACACTCTGGTTAGACGAAAAGAAAAGCGTATGAACAGAAAGAACGAAGAAGAAGAGAAAGAGAAAGAAAAAGACGATAAAGAGAAGAAAGAGGAGGCAGGCACAAAGTGAAATTACCTCGCGAATAGAAGAAGCTATGGAGCAATGGTCGGATAATGCGCAGACGTCGTCGTTGAATATATTTCGCGAGATTTACGAAATTTAAGGACAGCCTGAACACACACAAGCGCGACGAAGATCGGCCTTTTCTCCTCGCGAATTCTTCCTCGCCGGTTTGGAATGTCAGTTTAAAATTCCTGCAAAAGCTGGGGAACAAGAAATCACTCATAATACATAGGTTACCGAAGGAACATGTTTCTTCAACGGAACACAATGTGTTTTTCAAACAGAGAAGTGGCGAATTTTCGTCCATTTTCTCTACGGTGACTCTTCGTAATTTAATCATTTCCCGTGCTTGAGAAATTTCCATCGGAATCTATGATAATTTCGAGGTACAGAGGGCACGGAGTTCTCGGGCAAATCAATTCAGTACGTCGGAACAAGACGTCGTTTCGGATCTCGATTTGGGAATCGAACTGGCGTTAATGACATGTGTAAGCCCCGGCTGACATTCTCAAAGGGAGAATTGCACTACGGGCGGTTTGTGTGCACGCGCAAATTAGGGTCTCGCTGCCGAACGCGAGGATGCACGCGTGCATACAAACAAAATAGCGAGACCGTGCGTCAGCCCGCGATCCCTGCAAGGATGCGAGCTTCAGGATCTGATGCTCTATTATTGCTCCATGTTATTGCAATGCTAATGAATCCGTGGATAACGTTTACTCAACAGATACTGCTACCTGCCGCTGTCTTGTTATCGGTACCTGTATCGTGTTCGATCGTTGCAAAAATTTCTCGATACACATTTCCAATCTAGGCGAACAGTGAGTCGATAAATAAGTTACACCCCTCCGTTATTTTCAATTCAGATGGTAGAATTCTGAATTTATGCTTAGGTGGAGAACAATTAATGCTTTTACTTATTGTTAAACGTTGAAACGTCTGTTTAACCAACAGGGGTTTACGGCACGGATTCCAGGCAACGTTACTTTTGAGAAGTTTTTCCACAAGTTTTTTGATAACAATAGCCTATTCGAGCCAGAGGGCAAACTCGGTTTATTACCTGATGGCCGCGGAAATTCTCCACTTCTGCGGGCCACATGGTAAGCCCGTACTTGCCTCTGCGCGCTCAGTAACGGTAAACATGCCATAAACCCGTAAAGTCGACGTTTCGGCAAGATCGCCACGCGCGGCTGACACCCCCGTTTGGGACCGTCTCTCCCTCTGCCTACGCTCTACTCTGCGGACCACGGGGGAGTGTGCGCTCAGTAACGGTAAACATGCCATAAACCCGTAAAGTCGACGTTTCGGCAAGATCGCCACGCGGGGCTGACACCCCCGTTTGGGACCGTCTCTCCCTGTGCCTACGCTCTACTCTGCGGACCACGGGGGAGTGCACGAGGGCCTAGGAGGGCGGCTTTAGGGGGTGAAATGCCCATGATTTGCCAACACGGTTAACTCCCCATTTTGACGAAATCATACATATACAGCCAATTCACGACATTCCAGAGATTCTAAGGTATACATAGAAACAATCGACACACTTTGAGCGCACTACCACGCGATATTCGATATTTTTAAAACACCAGTGCGGTCCATTCCGCAACAATCGACATTATAAATAAAGTGCGATCACCATCGCGACAATAAGTAGTTGGCACATACACGTGCAATAATTACCAACGCCAACCCGACCTTCCAACCAACAAGAAGCGCGGGAAGCTGCGTTAACAACGTCCACGAACAGACGTGTAAAAAGAAGTGACCCGAAAAACTCGGTGGAAAAGTGATCCTCCTCTGCGACAATGTTCAAACAGATTCTGCGACTGTAACAGAGAAACTGTTGCCTAAATTTCAATGGGAACAATGAGAACATATATATCGGATTTAGGCAATAAATTAAAATGTGCTATTTCAATTATAAAACTGTTCCTTATTTTGTACTGAAGGAAGACACGTCAGTATACAATGATAGGAGCTCGACAAGACGCGAAGGAAAAAAAAAAAGAAAAAATCAAGGTCTACCTATACTAAACAGATAGTTACTGTACGATGCTCGACTCGCGACACGAAACTGTTTAAGCTCGAACGCGTTCGTTGTTATTAAACAAGAGCGAGTGTGTTTGTGCGAATGCGGGTCGCGAAGACATTATAAATAGGGAAAACAGTAACGAGAGGGGTCCATTTTCCTACGAAGCGACAAAGCGTTATCAGTGTTGTTTATCCTAACTATATTTTGCTAATCTCTAATTGCGTTCTGCATTCCGCTTCCTACAATATCTTGTAGTCCGGACCTCTCATCGTGTGATTTTCATGTGTTTGGCCAAATAAAAGAAGACACGACTGGGAAGGATTTCAGCAAGAACGACGGAGTGTAGGAAACAACCTTGAAATGGTTACCGGAAATGAGACGCAAATTTTTCGAGAACGGAATTCGAAAATTGGTTCCACGTTGCGACAAGTGTTTACAGATACTCGGTGACTATGTTAGAAAGTAGTAGCTGAATGTCGCTGAATGAATGAACGTAGCTGAGGGAGGATGTAACTTATTTATTAATTCACCCTCGTACAATGTTTTCCTTTCATAAACTGAACACAGAATTTACTATTTTCCATTTCACAATATTCCAATTTTCACAATTATCATTCTAATAAATCAATCGATGCGGTTTGTTAAAAATGATAAGAAATATATTGGCAGGAAAGTGTCACTGTACTTAGAAAAAAGGGCAAGGAAAAAATGTTATAAAAATTCACAAAAAAGAACTCTCATTGTTGATAAGCAAAGGAGTGTCTCGTTTGGCCTAACAGCCAGTAAATCAGGCAAGTAGTATAAACGGCACTAGAGTTTCTTCAAGGGATGTCGCGTCGTCCCAGAGCACCTCATAGCACGGTATGGTTATTCGGTAAATTAAGAAGGATTCCCACTCTCTCTCTCTCTCTCTCAGAACACGTCCGGACATCTTAGCTCAGCTTCGTTACAATTCTCTTTCAAGAAATACGCTCGCTCGTACTCGGTCATTGGATCAGTGTCGTCGGACTTCTCTGGTAATCTGAAACAGAGCGAAATTTCGCTAAAATGATCAAGGGAAGTAATTATTAGAGAAGCGAGTATCTCCTGTCGGGTAAATATTCCGCGAAGCATTCGCGTAATTGCGAGCGGAAACTTCGGGAAGGGAAGTCGAATCTTCGCTGGCGGAAAGAAGAGTCGGTTCGAGGAGGAAATTTACCGTGAACCTAAATTCGAACGTGCTCGAATTCGCGAAGTTTTCTGTATCGCTCTTTTTTACCGATTGACCTGCTTTCATAAAATTCGAAAACCAATCGAAATTTCTCTAAAAATATCCCGAGAGTTCGAACGTTTCGCGCAAGTTCAATGGAGTAATTATCAAAAGAAGACGTTCCGTTGCGTCCCACACATCGCAATTCTTTCGAGAGAATTTGGCGGGATTGCGAGGCTCGTAATCACCAATTGGTAATTTAATCACACAAGCTTGGTTGATAATCAAGTCAATACTTGAGCCTTGGTTGAATGTGATTTTGTACTTGACGCTCGGACGTGTCTTGTACCCTTACTGAATGTGATTGAATCTGATACTTGACTCTCAGGCGAGTCTTATATCTTTATTGAATTTACTTCGATGTGACTTGACTGTATGACTTTGACTATGGTTGAGTCTTATGTAAAATGTGATTGACTAGTCTACTACTTGATTTTCGAGCGAGTCTTGTATCTGTACTGAATGTGAATAATTTGACTAGAATGTACTGACTTGAATTGTGACTTGACTTTCGATTGAGTCTTACTTGAAGTGTGATTGACTGACCTACTACACGTCTTTCAGGCGAGTCTTGTATCTTTATTGCATGTCAATAGCTTGACTTGACTTATGACTTGACTCATGACTTGATTGTCGGTTGAGTCTTACATGAAATATGATTGGCTGGTCTACCACTTGATTCTCAGGCGAGTCTTGTATCCTTACTGAATGTGAATAATTTGACTTGACTTGTGACTTGACTCATAACTTCACTCTCGGCTGAATTTTACTTAAAATGTGATTGACTGGTCTTCTACTTGATACTCGGGCTAGTCTTGTATATCTGAATATGAATAACTTGACTTGACTTGTGACTTGACTCATGACTTGACTCTTGGTTGAGTCTTACTTGAAATATGATTGGCTGGTTTACTTCTTGATTCTCAGGCGAGTCTTGTATCTTTTCTGAATATGAATAACTTGACTTGACTTGTGACTTGACTCATGACTTGACTTAGTTGAGTCTTACTTGAAATATGATTGGCTGGCCTACTACACGCCTCTCAGGCAAGTCCTGTATCTTTACTGAATGTGAATACCTTGACTTGAATGTACTGACTTAACTTGTGACTTGACTCTCCTGTGAGTCTTGCATCTTTACTAAACGTGAATAACTCAACCTGCATGCACTGACTTGATTTGTCTCTTATCTAGGTTGAATCTTACTTGAAATGAACGAACATGACTTATCGTGTCGTGGTTGTGTTTTTAAAGAGGGTTTATGGCAGGTCCATGGGCGTTCGACACCTCAGTCTGACAGCCAAATGTGACTAACAGTTTTTCTGACGATAATCCGCCAGAGCGAGAGTCTTCGTCGTGTTTAAACAAAGTTGCCACAACGTCTTCGAGCTTCTTTCTTGAACATCAAAGAACAGAGTCTTCAGGCGTTCGTCTTCGACGTTCGATAAATAGTTGGAGGTTTCTTCCCTCTAAGATGCGAAACTTCATAATGATTATCAAAACGGCGCGAGAAAAGTTGTCGAAGAGAATTCCGCGCAATGGCCTCGACGTGCTTTCGAACTTTTCGCCGACGCGCGACGACGTTAAGCGTCACACCGGATGTCATGAATAAATTCAACGTGT